TATATATATATATATATATATATATATATATATAAAAAAACTGGCGACAACAATACTAACGTTAAATACTGGGGTAACGTATTCTATCGTTGGGTGGTGTCAGAAATTTGACAATTTATTATATTATTATTTTTTTCGCCAATTGTCAAAATAAAAAAGGCTTTTACTTATATTTCTTAATATTATAAATCTATGCTATGTTGTTCTTTTGCTTAGGATTCTTCTACAGTAGGTGTCTGTGACTTGTTAGCGATAAATTCAACGTTGAATAAACAACACGCACTTTACTTGTTTTCAAAATAATATATATATATATTCGGGACAAGTTAACGTATGTACAATAAATTATTCAACACTATAGGTATTATGGACATATAATAAATACTGTATATGTAGTTTTTCTCCTTCATGCTAAATATTCACTTAGACCTGTTCCATTACTTTAGAACTTCAGTTGACAAGCCGAACTGTCTTCTCTATTTCTATCGCACTAGTATTATCTGTAATCCACTAACATTTACAGTTGTGGCGCGAGTTATCGTAATTGTTTGGTCTTCTTTCTTTTGAAGACCCTCTGTTCCTTTTGTCAAAGTGCACTCAGGCAGATTCAGTAACTTTAGAACTACGCTATGACCAAATAAAATTGTTTTTCTTATAATCCTTTCTACTGGTAGTTTCACTCTAACATATTAACCGTTAGGCCTATCACTTCTACGGTAGTTATCTTCACACCAGCTTTATTCTCTTTTGCTGTATTCTGCTTCTGTCTGTCTGCTGCTTCCTCCTCGTCTCACGCTATTTATATCTTTTTTTACCTAATTGTATGTCTGCCTCTATATTATCGACGTCAATATATTGCATGTGACGTTTGATATTCTCAACATCAATGACTTATTAACAAAACTTTCTACAATAATCTGCTTTTAACTCTTTTTCTTTAATCAAAAACAAAACAATAATAAAACATTCACTCGCAAAACAAAATTAATCAATAATATCTGAACGAAACAGTCTTTTATATCATGACAGGTGTTTATGTAAATTATTTTGTGAAATTAATGTGAATTAATATATATATATATCCTTTGTAACAATTGTTACAGGCTACTATCATTTGTACACAGTTGTAGGCCTTAGTTCATATATAAAGTTTTTACATTCAACAGAACAACTTACTAGTATATAAATAAATACACTTGTATGATTGCACAGCTAATAGATCGAGTAACTGAATATATGCGTTAACTAACATTGATCTTTACTAGCTTTTGAACTGAATGTTTCACTGATTCTTGTATGTATAATGTATTCTTGTTTCTTTCTATATTTTTGCAATTATATAGAACATTCTAGGTATTCTCTAGAAACAACTTAAATAAGTTATTGAAAATATAACCGGATGTGTAAACTTGTATGAGTGTTAGTCATATCGTGATATAAGACTATATTCATTTAGATAAGTGTTTGATTAGGGCCTATAGAGGGACCGAAAGCTCGCTGAAATTATACAGTTTATCGTGAAAAGAGTCCTGATGTTTTGTTTAACAGTTGTGTCGCGTGCAGTCATGTTAACCCATCATCAACGGTATAAGGATATGAAAACTTATGTTACTAATGAGCAGTTTTGTTTAAATCGGTGTCATAGTTGAATTTATATAACCTATATCTTGGGTAGTCGTAATTGTTTTTAGGCTTCGTTTATCTGGTGTCCTTCTAAGATGAAGTTTTCTGAACTTAGTGTTTGAGACTGATTTTGTATATATATTCTAGGTTTTCCTTCTTCCTGGTCGGATTCCACACTCCCCCCAGCGTCAGGCTAACACCATTGGATTTGTGGCAGAAAGGGATCGTAAACCTGAAGAACTGGACTGCCTCAGGTATCCAAGATTTGAAAAGTTGTTATAGAAAACATAGTTATGTAAATAGTTTATTGTTAGGAAGGATGGACAATTTTTGTAGAAGTTGAAAGAATTATTACTTTTTTTACCATAGAAACAAATAGAATTAACATGTTAAATGTCATTTATAAGGATTCTTGTTTGTGGATTTAAACAACTAACATCGAATTTTCCCAAATTCATACCAAACTAGATATCACCATATTAATTATATAAAATGCATAGTATTAATATTTGATGTTATACACACAAAGTAAATTTTTAAATAAAGTTCAATAAGATATGTGTCCCTATATATGTTTTTTCTAATCAGTAATTCGAATATGTTACTACATGTTTAGTGAACTAAGAGCTGTTTCTCCCCATTGTAAAACTCCTCATCACAGTTCGTTGATTGAAGGCCACCGAACTAAGAGCTGCTTCTCCTCATCACAGTTCATTGATTGAAGGCCATCAAAGTAAGAGCTGTTTCTCCCCATTGTGAAACTCCTCATCACAGTTCATTGATTGAAGGCCACCGAACTAAGAGCTGTTTCTCCCCATTGTGAAACTCCTCATCACAGTTCGTTGATTGAAGGCCACCGAACTAAGAGCTGTTTCTCCTCATCACAGTTCGTTGATTGAAGGCCACCGAACTAAGAGCTGTTTCTCCTCATCACAGTTCATTGATTGAAGGCCATCAAACTAAGAGCTGTTTCTCCCCCATTGTGAAACTCCTCATCACAGTTCATTGATTGAAGGCCACCGAACTAAGAGCTGTTTCTTCTCATTGTGAAACTCCTCATCACAGTTCGTTGATTGAAGGCCACCGAACTAAGAGCTGTTTTCCCCATTGTGAAACTGCTCATCACAGTTCGTTGATTGAAGGCCACCGAACTAAGAGCTGTTTCTTTTCATTCTGAAACTCCTCATCACAGTTCATTGATTGAAGGCCACCAAACTAAGAGCTGTTTCTCCTCATTGGGAAACTCGTCATCACAGTTCATTGATTGAAGGCCACCAAGATCTCTTCATGGGTTCTGGGAAGGTATTATTATGAGGGTGTTCCCTCCCTCCCAAACAATAACGAAGAAAGCTGGCGTACAATATATTACATTCACCAGGCTTTGTAGTATACCAATCATCCAGTTAGGGAACTGTTTTATGGTGTGTGGTTATTGCAATCGCTAAACAAAATGGTAGTTTCAGTGATAAAAACAATATATTAACTTATACAGTATCTAAAGCATCACAGATTACAATATTTATTCGAAAAACAAAAATGAGAAATCCCATGATCGGAATGTTTTAGCCCATCAAGGACATTTTTTCAGTTTGCCCCTGACAAAGAAAGGTAGACCTTTTCCCATCAAGGACATTTTTTCAGTTTGCCCCTGACAAAGAAAGGTCCACCTTTCCCATCAAGGACATTTTTTCAGTTTGCCCCTGACAAAGAAAGGTAGACCTTTTCCCATCAAGGACATTTTTTCAGTTTGCCCCTGACAAAGAAAGGTCCACCTTTAAAACTTTCTCAATTCTTCGGGAAATAGGGTTTGTTATTTTTCATTGATTTTTGTTAACTTGGGATATTCTCTATGTTGTTTAACATCATGTACAATATTTATTTGCTATTTTATAATTACATGCCATCTTCCAATGTGTTTATAATGCTGTAGCCTACTAGCCCATTGCTTTGAAATTAATTTGCGTTTGTATATATCTTTATCTTAAGGTTCTGTAGCAGTAATCACAATCGACACTAATTTGTATTTTGTTTCCTTCTTGGGATTGCTAGGACTCAAAATGCCACTACCTTCAGATATTCATATTATTGCCACCGTGTTATCCTCAGATTTACTCATTTTCCTTTCCAGTAACCAGGTGGGAGCTGCTGAATGACAAGAGGTTTCTACAGATCTTTTTACGGAGCAAAAATCTGAATAATCTTAACCTTGACTATGTGTGCGTGTGCGCGCGCGCGCGTATGAAACAAAGAAAGAGACTGGACACAAATTTAAGCTCGGTGAAATAGTCTTTACTCACACAGAAACACAAAGCTTAAAGGGCAGTGTACTTTGTGTTACCTTTACTGGAGAGTTCTTGGATTCATATTTTAATCTATATCTCTGTCCGTTATATAATTATCCTCGTCCTTTCTGTTTCAGATTAAGAAAATATGGCATTACATACAAAAACAACAATGTCCAGGCGTTACCCACGTGGCCAATGGTCACTGTCACTTTAAAACAAGAGAATGTTGAATTCCTAGGGTTTAACCTCCTTGACCGACTTTCTTTATCAAGAACACTTGTAATATACACAGAAGTTTTAAAAAATGAATAATATATATTCACCAGTGTCTTCTATAGCGAAGATCCCATTGATTTACGATTAGTAGCAAGACAAAAAAGTACAACTATGTACGTAGCAGCTCCTTCCGAGCATTGAAGAAGAGCATTATGGTGAAGTACAGAACAGGAGTATATGTTTAGCGGCTACATTGCTTCAATAAAATGTACTGAATGCCTAGGGTACAATATGTAAGAAAATAGTTGTGGAAGAATAACTACAAAACAAAATATATGCTAAGACTAATAACTCATTTTAAGTTTTATATGGTAAAATGATTATGATCCAACCTGCTCAGAACAGTAACTGTTAAATAAGTCTGTTTTGCTTAAGTCACTTGCAATTCTTTAAATCAGCTGGAATGAAATGTTTTTGTAATCCAAGCACAGAGTATATAGCTGTATGAGTATCGCATATGACATCAGGTACACGTACATAAACAAGTTAAAGTAATGTGCATTTATTTTATTTGAAATATGAAACATGATTAGTGTTTTATATAGAGTATTTTCTAACTATATGTTTTATTTCATTTCTATGAATTACCTCGAAAAGTAAAAGGTTTTCAATTAAATATAAACTAGTATTTATAGTGACGTCATTAGTAAGTTATGCAACTTAATACTATCGACGGTTCGAATCTTTGTTCTATAATGTGTTCTGAATATTCGAATGTCAAAACATATTCTTCCTTATAGCCCTAGCAATAAGCATTTTGTGAAGAACTGAGAAAAAACAAGACAATTGTACGAATCACAAGTACATAATTTATTTGTGAAACGTACAATTGTCTTGTTGTTCCGCAGTACGATAATTATAGAGTTTCACCGAGTCCCAACGGCTTCAAGTATCAAGCATATATTGTGAAGAATTGAGTATTCTGTAATGTTTATAAAATTGAATACGACGAAAGAATTAAGAGCCTTTGCATTTTGTAGAAACGTTTTGCTAGTTTGTACACATGCTAAGAAGAATTTATACTTTTAAAAAATGACTTTAAAATTTTTTTTAACACTTTGGTTGAGTTGCTTTAGAAACACTGAAAAACTTCAATGTGTTTGTGTTATGTTCAGTACTTTTACACTATTGTAAAGTGTTTAGTGATTGTAAAATGTGTCATATGACCCACATCCAGAGAAGTAGGATACCAATATATTGTAGAAATCTCCACTACTATGTATTATTACTATAGTATCCTACAATAGTGTACTACAAGGTAGTATGAATGTAGTGATGTGTATACTCAAATGTATTTTTATACATTAGGTTATGTATATGTATATTATATCCTAAAATATACTTTACTACAATGTATTACGATATTTGCCGACCCAGTAAGCAAGAAACTAAGTCTTCAGTACAGGTAATTTAATTCGGAAATCTTCAACATGTTCAACAAACCCACATCCACAATTTTTGGATTATAAACCTGATGTTTTTCGGGGTTTTTTTTTTCTATAATTTAATTCTCGATTACTTTTTGTTCTTAAACTTTGATAATAAAACTTAGGAGCAAATCGAAAAATCATACAATCGATGATAAATGAAAAGAAAAGACAATAGTGAAAGACTTAAAAGCATCAGTTGCAGTTGGCTTTTTTTTTCTGTATGTATGGTACGTTGATTAGGGTACTGAACTCACAATCTGAGGGTTGCGGGTTCGAATCCCGTCCTCGAACATGATCGCCCTTTCAGATATGGGGATGTTTTGTACTGACGGTCAATCATACTATTCCTTGGTAAATAGTGGAGCCCGAGAGTTGGTGGTGGGTGGTGTTGACTAGCTGCCTTCCATCTAGTCTATTACTTCAAAACTATGGTCGACTAGTGCAGATAGTCCTCGAGTAGTTTTGTGTGCAATTCAAAATAAACCAGCAAATCATTAGTGTTTTATGAATAACTAACCATTGTCAATGAAAGACAGTCGTAAACAGTTCTAATTTTAATACACGTATACAGACTTCGTTTTAAGTGTTAAATTAATAAGTATGTTTTCTGTCTTACAAATATTGTAGTGTGTTTTATTTGAGTAACAATAAGCTTGTCGTCTTAGGTATTTTGTAGACAACACTACAGAAGTATTGTTTGAACGATGGTTCTACTGTGAAGATTTGGGAAGGCAATTAGCACCCATCATTCAAGAATATATTGAATCACAGCAGTACAAAACTGGACTACCTGTTCCTGGTAAGTGAATGTATTCATGGCTTACTGAACAAAATAGACATCGTGCGATTTTTAACCAAACTCTTGTATTTTGAATCTAGAGTATTATCATCTGTATTGTAATAAAGCTGTCTAATTGTGACGCACAGTAATAGCATCAGACATTTAGCCCCTGAAGTTATATAATAATAAGTACATTGTTGTATCTTCAACACTAGAACGCGCACTCATCTTAGCCGAAGATACGTGCTAACATGGGGATTGCAAAATGGCGTCCAAAACAGGCAACGAAGCAAAGTCTACTAAACTGAATATACCAATAAAGCAGAAGGTTTATCAGTCTTATAGGTTGTTTGAACAGTTGGATAATTAACGAAATATTACCGCAGGTAGATTTATACATTTTAAAGGTTTACTTACTTAATACTAACTTTATATGTAGTAAGTGAAATTTGCTGTTGTACAATACAATAAATTATATATATACATATTTGAAATGTGTATACAAAGCAAAAACTAAACGAAATGAAAGAATCAGCAATAAAAATAAGATCCTTTTCCCGCAATGCTATTATTAACGTCTTCAGAATGTTACGTATTGTGAATTTGAAATAGTCCAAAGCCGATATTTTAGTTAGTTTACACTATTTGCCAACAAGATTGACACACACCATCTTCGTTTTTCACACAAATACATTTTAATATATATACAACAGTACAATTTACAACAACAATTATTACAAATAGTTATCACAAGCAAAGTTTTATAAAACAAAATAAGTTACAAACAACACAAAATCTTCTTTCTAGTCCAGAGTCTCCTTGATATCCAGCGAGTTAACTTTAAGTCGATGTACGTACAATTGCCGAGAAGCTAGCTAGCTTTGTCAGACACTGAATTGTTGGACCGTCGAAGTAAGATGATATTTTCATAAAACCACTTATGTCCGATGAGAATTCAGTAATACTTTCGGAAAGATATTAACGTCCGATGAGAATCCACTGGCGTTCAAAATTTATAACTGTTTATAAATTTATAACAAAGCAGTTTTTCTCTATGTTTATTTACATATTTAGAACTATTAAATATTACCCTTACTTTACTGGATTTGTGGTGTTGAATATGATATAGAGTTTTAACTTTTTGCAGACGACCAACTGTAGGCAATGGCTAATTTAGGGATGGCTAGTGCAGATAGCCCTCATTTACCTTTGCGCGAAATTCAAAACAAACCAAACCAGGAAGTCAAATCTTTTCATGTAGGTTAATTTACTCTAATCCTGCCTGAAATAATTTCAATTTTAGTGTAGGCTGGTAGAGATCCTGATGAGTAATAAAATATAATCGGCTATATGCGCACCCTGCGCTTGGTATTGCTGACACACAAAAATATAGCTAATAAAAAGAAATAAAAGGCCTCGTATATTAATTTACTTTAATCCTGCCTAAGAGAATTTCAAGTGCCGCAGCTATTAAGGATTCACTCTTGTTTATTTTAGGTTACGAGATAGCTAACCACAAGTAATATTTTGTGCTATTACAAATAAAACATGGTAACAACAAAACAGTCAATTCCTCTATATACTAGCGAGTTTAAGATGTTTCTATTTTTTATTCCTTTAAAAAAACCAAAAAAAAACCATCATACATTCTTTTTATGCCAGTTCAACAAATATGAAGTTTCTTGAAACGGGCAACTTCACGATTATTGATTAGAGTCTGTTGCTATCGTAACACTTTCTTGCCATCTAGAAATTTATTAAGTAAATAAATTTCATAATTATTATGATGTCCCCCAGTGGCACAGCGGTATATCTGTGGACTTACAACACTAGAATCCATGTTTCGACACCCGTGGTAGGCAGAGCACAGATAGCCCATTGTGTAGCTTTGTGCTTAATTACAAACAAACAAAAATTATTATGATAAGATGATGCATTATCTGCCATCTAGTGAGAGTTTGTAAAATTAGATTTACAATGTAAACAGTCCATAATATGTGTTACTGCTTCTATGATTTCTATTTATAAAAACTGGCAGTTATGTATTTATAACAATAGACCATTATCTGGTCTGTGGTGCATAGATTAAAATTTTAGTTAAATGTAAGTTCCTCTGCCAAAAAAAAAGCATTGTATTCTAAATATCATGATTTTCAAAACAAGATATTTTGAAAAATGACAGCTGTTTTACAATTATAGAATGATTCACAAAAACATTTGCCAAATATGGCTGTACAGTAAGCCGTTTTGAAATGATCATAGAAATTCATTCATGTTGTTTTTTTCTACAAAATTCTAAAGCAGTTAATGCTCTATCAAAATATATAAAGTACTTAAAGCTGTTTTGCAAATAGTTGTTACGACAGTGGAAGTCGCGCGACGCTGGGAGCACATGCTGGAGTTCTAGAAAGATCGAGGAACCTGTCAAACGTCCTAGCATCTGCTAGACATGTGCTCTTATAGTATATAAGCCGGCAAATAAAGTGATAATTTCATAATTGCAGACAGACAGAGACAGACAATTGAGTCAAGCACGGTACTGACCTTAAGTAAAGTGCATGAATCGTTGTGAATTATAGCGTGTGTTTAAGTTAAAGTTACTGTGGAAATTAAGTGTATTGCAAAGGTTTATTTAAGAAAGAACTTGTATCACTAAAGTTTCATCGGAAATAATTTCTATGGAAAATTAACAAACGAATGATCAGAGATGTAACAATATTATTAATTTCACCATAGATAATAATAAAAAGTACTCAGAGACTTTAACTTTTAATTATCTTCAGATTGAAGAGTTTTGTCTAGAGCAGAATTGTAATCCTCAAAAGAATGGTAGATAAATATAACAGAACCAGTATAAAAGCCCGTCCAAAATGATAGAAAACTATTGAATGATTAACAAAAAATTATAGAATTTAACTAAAATGAATTTGCCTGTACTCCCAAAATGTACCTACTCTTCACTTATTTCATCATTCTTGAAATAATTCTTATATCGCTGAAGTTTCTGGGAAAGAATTTCTACGGAAAATTAACAAACAAACAGAGACATAACAAATTGGAAACGAGAAGTGCCAAATCAAACTACAGCTTAGCAGATTTGATGGCAGCAATACAAGAACAGCAAAAGAAACAAGAAGTACGAGAAAAGGAACAGAAAGAGTGAATACAGCAGTGGCAAGAAAACCTGCA